GCGCGCGCGCGCGCGTGCGTGCGTGCGTGCGCGCACATGTTTTTGTTTGTGTCTGTGGGTGTTCCAACAGACCTTGACAGGCCCACATGTCAAGAATGGATCCGAAGGCCTTCAAGTGATTCAACTCTGGAGAGAAAAGGTGTTCAAGTTATGTGTTCAGCTTCGCTCAAAGGACATTGAATTAAGAGGAGAAAAGGAGGAACTCCTTTCAAAAGTATGAATTCTGGTAGTACACTGTGGTAGAATCACATCCAGTGTGTAGGAAACTGGGATTAAAATATAATACTGTGTGCTGTGTGTTTTAGCTCAGATCTTTGGAGCTGCACCTCCAGCAGGAGCAGCACCGGACTAGTGTCCTCCAGCACAGTCTAGATGACAGGATAGCTGAGCTGGACCTGGAGAGAGTGGAAAAGGAGGTTAGTAGCAGAGCAAGTGATGTGATTTACGTGGCTGTCTTAAATTGTGATGATGCTAAATAAATTCGGGCCTGCTTAGAAAAGTGATAAACACTTAGCATACATTTTTCTAGCCCAGCAGAGGATGCTGACTATATGAAAACTTTGCTAGTTCCTGAGAATTGAGGTTGTAAGAACAGCAGCTGGCCACAAAGACATAGAACCGTGCATCATGGTAGATTTGTATACGATACTCTATCATATGGTTATGTGTTTTTCCCATCAGACATTGAAACATGACTTGGCCCAGGCTCACAAGGAAAATTCTCAGCTGAAGTCTCAGAGCCAGAAATCAGCGGCTGAACTTAAAATCCTGACAGAGGCCGTGCAAAGGTAAACCAACTAGAAGAATAATTGTAGAACAGAAGGAAAATGCTAAACTGTTATTCATGTCAGTTTTAAAATATTGAATCACAGATAATTACGGATTTTGGCTTTGCATCACAGATTCCGGGTGGCATTTGAAAGTAAGGTGGCAGAAGTTGACGCAGCTCAAGGAAGGCTTAGCACTTTCACCCAGAGGCTAGTTTTCGCTAAAAGACGAGTGGAGACAATCCAAGGTGCGATCACACTGGAAGTAAATTGGATAATTGCAATGGTTCACTTTATAGTAAAGAATTCACATGATTGTGTTTCTGCTTCTACAGGTTTGATCATGAGGAGAGTGGCTCTGCAGAAAATTCAGCAGGCCAGTAAACAGGTAGAACAGGACGCTGACAGGTACAGTATGAGGTTCCATCATATACATCTCTTAAGCCTAAATTAAAACTGCTTACTTGTTTTGAACAAAAGCTTCCAAATTTCAATCAATGCTTTTATGAAATGTAATAAATCACACACCTCTTTGCATTTTAATCCTGTAAACGCCAGATCTTTTAGTGCTTCTACTGGTTAAGTAATTACATGAAAATTAAATGAATCATTATGGGTCAGATTTGGAGTGAGCCAATTTAGAAAACATTTCATCCAAATTAATTTACCCTTTCAACACTAATTCAGAATTAATAGGCTTATTCAAGCCTACTAATGCATTTCACATTGCATTTATATATTTGTAATTGTATACACAGTCCAAGTAAGAGCATATTGCTTTACAAAACATGCCTCAAAAGAAGAAGTGTTCAAACATGAAAATATCTGTTTCAGCGTTGTTGGAAATGGGGCAGAATAAATCAATACAGTGATATTAATAACTAAATGTCAGGATATCACAATATGATAGTTTTAAATAGTATTACTCAACATGCAAAAGCTGTTCCTTTCTGGTTGGCAAGAGTGAAGCTTGCTTTGTTAGATAAAACTGTGCAGTTGCTTCTCAGCCTCTCTACATGACTCTCTGTTCCTTCATTTGCTCTGCCATCTTGTCTGTGCTGCCCTGCAGCCTGACAAACCTCCAGACAGAGCTCGGTTTGGTGTGTGAAGAGAGAGACAAGCTCACACAGGAGCTCAAAAGAACCCCGGAGCTCATCGAGAAAGCCTTGGCCGATCTGAAAGAACAGTGTGAGCACCCTTGCTACAACATGACAAATTGTAATGGATCATCTGTTGGCTGTACATGTTTTGGCAACCCATGTGTCTCAGCTCACTTTGCACCTCCTCCTCAGATGAAAGCAGACGGAGGCAGCAGCAACAGGAGCTGGAGCAGAGCTGGACAGAGGTCCGGCAAGCTGTGGCTGGGAGAGAGGAGGCAGAGCGGAGCCTGCAGGACATGCAGGCTCAGCTGGAGGAGTGCAAGGGCAGTCTGGAGAAACTCCGCTCTGAGCTGCTCACCCAGCAGGAGCACAGCGAGCAGGGTGAGGCAGCAGCTAGATTAAGCCGAATTACTAGTTTTCAGCCTTGATTTATCTGAGCAAAGGAGACAGCACCCCTGCTCTTTTTCAAAAACGCCCTTCATCACATTCTCCTTATATTCACATCTTGGATTAGGTTGCCACTCCCCTCTGCTTGGTGGCATAACTGGAGCAGTTGGGGATTAAGTGAAATGCTCAAGAGCACCTTGACTGTAGTTGTTCCACCAACTCCTCCTAAAGGGAATATATCTGGCTAGCTGCTACGTGCACCACGATTTTTACCAACTTGTCGCTAACTTTATTTTGTCTGCCATTTGAAGCTGGGCTTGTAGCGTGTAGCTGGTAATTAAGAGCTTTTAGATGAAAAACAGCTGCCTGCGAGGCCCTGCTGTGAGTCAACCAAACAATTAAATCTGCAAGGCACAAAATCAAGGTGATGATCTTCAAGTTCCCACAAAACTCTGACTGCAAGTCAGGTGATACATTTCAGTTTTGGTTTGTCACTATGAGAGACTCTTTTCATTTACATGATTCACAGAACAGATTATAGCCACTTAAATAATGCACACATCAGATCCATGCTGATTGATTTAATCTTTCTCCTAAATGTCAGGTCTTAATATGAGTCGCTGTATATTCCTCAGCTTTCAATGAAATGTTTTTTTTTAATTAAATAGAGGTGCCCTTTTCTGACCTTTAGGCCACTGCCACCTTGCTGTGTCAGTTTGTTACGTTCAGGCAGGGATACAATGTTTTTTCTGAATTTAAAGAAACATGAAAATACAAAACAAATACACATACTCTAAACACACATATCCATAATAATAATGTCTCAATAAAGTCTCATTCTGATATTTGATAAGCCTGGATCATTTAATTAGCTCTGAAAATTTGTAAACAGATGCATAAAGATCAATTTATTCTGCGACATAAACAAACACAGCATCAGACTCTGTTTTTCAATGGTACATTTGCTGTTCTTCAGTCCTGCAGGAGAGGGTGTCTGAGATTGAGCACCGCTGTGCTGAGAAGCTGAGAGAGATGGAGGTTCAAGTCAATACGGCCAGGAGAGAGCACACCAAAGCAGGTAGGAGCCGGATTAGCACGGCGCTACATCCTCTCACAGAAGCCTTACACAAGGGACTGAAGTCATATCTGTAACACAGACTGTGAGCTAATATGACTGGAATTGTTTACACAGTATACAGCAGCATTTCCTGTTGGCGCTTCATCCGTCTGTGTTGTCTCTTACAGTTATGACATTGCGGCAGTTTCAGAGAGAGAAAGCAAGGAAGCAGGATGAGAAGAGAGAAACTCAGTATTTAGGGGGTGTACACACAAAGAGGGAAGTTCAGAAAACACAACCAAAGGAGATGGAAAAGGACAAAAGTCTATTGATGGTGAGAGTTTCTTGAAGCAAATAACAGTTGTTGTTTCTGTCTGTATTTCTGTTAATGAACTCATAGACCTGAATCTGTTCCAGGCCACTGTTGCAGAGCGAGGGCTGGCGAGTGAGTACACAAGAGTTCCTGCAGCAGCTTCACAAATCTCTGCTGCTCCCAGAGAACAACAACCAGAACCTTCAGAGAGGGGTAGCTCTGTGCGGGCAAAGGTCCAACTGCCTGCTGAGGGTAAGAAATGTCCCAACTCCTACAGATGCTATTCATTTAAAACACTAACACTTACACAGACATGATTGAAATGACTGTCGGGCCTGTCTGTGTCCCTTCAGAGAGACTCCTGTCTGTTTTGGAGGAGCTCCGCACTCTCAGTGCTGCAGTGGTACACAGCTCTGAGGACTCTGAGGAGGAGGGAGAGAAAAACAGCGTGGGTCCATCCACAGACAGCTTGCACAGCTGATACCTGAGGATGAGTCACTGGAGGCAGTTAAAACACCTTCATTTGTACAAAAGGTGGGCAGTGTTAAAGATGTAGTAGCCAATTACAGTCAGTGGAAACACATAGTTTGAGCCAAACATCAGAAAAGCACGCATGTCACATTTGCCGGTGGGTGTACAAGAATAATAATTGGTATTTAATGCACATGACACGGTGTGCATAAATATCAGTTATCTACAGGATAATGTTTATACACAGATTCTGCATGTGAATATGCAGAATAGCACTTAATGGAGAATAGCCAAAGTCGCATCTGGACCTAAAACGCCTGCACGGTTTGGAGTGCAAACATTTTACGGCCAAAAGAAGATGGAGTCTTGGTCTGGTTACTCACTGTCTACACCATAAGTTCCAAAATATTGGTTGTTGCCCCAATATTTTGTTAATGTAAAATAGCTGCACAGATAGTGATGACTTATAAATAAATGCAAACATGTGACTAGATGGAAGCCTGCGAGATAAAAATACAACTGTACAACTAGTACTTTCCCTCCTAATGTGAATAGAGTATCTATCAGTAGTCTGTACTGTTCAGTTCATGTGATGGTCTAAGTATTTCTTTGCTATGCTGAGGCTGGTGTTTTACTTTTCAATGCAACCTAAGTAATAAAGTATGTTTTTATAGTTAATTACATGGTCTTCAACAATATGGTCTGGGGGGAGATGGTGATGAAGAAATTCATGATTTGATAAAAACGGAACTTCAAGTATTGATGTCAGATCCTAAAGAAGAAGAGCAACGAACACATCTGATGTCTGGGTTTTACATTAAGTAATCAATCATTTGAAAAAATACACGGGAGTCTCTCAGGTCTGTCAAATCAAAGTTAAATCTATAAAGCCGTTTTTTATGTGATTGTTGCGTCTGCTCTCTCTTTATATAACACATGAACAACAAGGGGGGGGACCCGAATAATTTCAAATGGAAGAAATCGATATTTTCTATTTAGGTTCACGGAGGTCAGTTTTAAAATGACTCTGCAGTTGCAGGATTGACGATGATAAACATCATGATGAACTAGATAATTGTGCTATTTGTCATGTTGTCACGAGTGCTAATACATTTTGCAATAGCTCATAGTTTCGAGCCTCTAGGTTAAAAAAAACACCTCATGGAGAACCGAGGGAGAGCAGAGTGAAAATACTAATAAAGACCAGACGGTGTTACTCTACTTTCTAAGAGCATCAAAATTAATTTGCGGGGACACACTCGAAGCTTGAGAGGTGATTCATCACAGTACAGGATTAATGCAGTAAATGTAATTTTGCATTTCAGTAGTGCACTGTTGCTTTTATTTATGGTTCTTGAGAGTTTGTAAAACAGCATAGTATATGCATTGTATTTTAAGCATATGATAAATCAATAATTACACTGATGATGGTGAAGAAACTATACGAAATTTGAATTTACATACATTATGATTGATTATTTTAAAATGTTCCACCAATTTTAATATCACACCCTTGTCCATTTATCTGTCAGTGATCCACTTCAGACACTTGTACCCTGTATCAAATGTATTGTCTTGTGCAGATCAAAACCACCAGAGGGCGACATTGTCAAAGATGAGCTCAGCACATGCAGTGATCTCCATCATTTCTTTGGCTTAAAGCAACACACAACTTTTACTGTGCAACAGTGCCCCCTGCAGCCAAATGTGTAGACTCATTCTGTTAACCCCCGAGTCCGATATACGAGATTTAGTGGTTTTCATTAAAAAAACCAAAAGCTTTTTTACCTGTTGACTGCTGATCTTCAGTTCGACATTACTCTTGAACTTGTTGGGTCTGATTCTGCTGATTTGAGCTGCAACAATCAGTCAGTTGCACACTTCTCACAGGAGATCGTACCCTGTCAGTAAAGTTCCATGGACCAAGAATAGGCCGCCCCTTCAACACATTTTGAAGCTGCTATTTGAATGTAAAAAAGTTGCATAGTGCTGCTTTAATTCTTGTAATTAATCCATTATGCTGCATTGTTTCTCCACAAACATGAGAGCAGGACTCTGGTGAAAAACTTTCAGGTTGATGGGAAAACGTGGTGCAATAACACGTTGTTGTATACAGCCTCAGTAAATGCATTTACCCTATATATCATTGCCTCAGCAGTGTTGAGAGAGTAGCTCAGCAGCCAGAGTACACCGTGGTTAACTGGTGAATAATTTAGTAGAGCACTGCAACCTAGAAGAGACATGAAATAAATGATGTAATAAAAACCAATCAATAAGCTCCTGAACAATTCAGAATTAATGACATATAAAAAAATAAATGGTCCAAACAAACGCATGTCTGGAAACGGAGTTTATATCTATTTTTACAGTTTCATTTTGGTTGTAATATTACCAGTGGAACTAAACCAGTTCTTAGACCCAGGCTCCACTGACTAAAGCTATTTTATTGATAGAGTGTATAGGACTGTTATGTGTTTGTGTGTGAACCCTCCTCCCCGATGCTGTGCCGTCAGACTGCAGCGCGTCAAATCAGAACATCTGCTGCCATCAGCCGTGCCTGTCATCAAGCGTCTGCGTCAAGCAGCTACGTCTGTTTGTGGTTGTAATCGAAATGACCATACCTGCAGGTTCTGTCTACGCTTTGGCTGTTGTGGAAGACTCTCTGCAGTTCAGCAGCACTGGTTTATTTTCAAGAAATGATTTATGACTTTATTGTAAAATGTTATGTCAAATATTTATGACTTAAAATAAAGAAACTAATTATTACAAATATCATGGGACTGAAATGGCGCCATGACCAGTTTCCTTTTGCTAAATTATGTTGAATTACTATGGTGCACTGTACACAGTCATTATAAACCATGTTTATATACTGTGATTTGGCCAAAGTCCGGCTTCCTCCTCTGTTATCCTCTGCCTCTGATACGTTCTATTGCACTTTGCCAAATGTCCCAAAAGTAGAGTCCTCTCGGGGACAGTGCTCAGTCAAGCTTGCTACAGTCAGTGACTGGAATAAGCTGCAGAAATCCTGGTCAATTATTCTCACTGTGTGTCTCTCAAGGACATGCAGCTCTTCCTTAGATGTGTTATTTGGCACATCATCTCCCTTTTCATTTGCTAACCCTAATATTTGATAACTTGTAAATTATAACCCCCTGAGCACTAACTCCTGCACAGTTGTTTTTACATTAGATTACATAAGAAACCTCACATCCTCGGTCCTCACATGAAGACAGCATTCTGGATTCAGATATTACACTGGTTCAAACAAACAGCGGCTCGTCTTCCCAGCGTCCCCGCAGGCCGGCGGTCAGAGGCGACTTGGATCTGTGTCCGGGGTTGATGTGATCCAGTGAGGCTGGGGTGTCGAGCACCAGTGCCGCATGCTGCCCGAGAGCCCTGGTGGATGGCCGTGTGCTGCTGTGGCAGGACACGCTACAGGGAGGAACAGCAGCGACGGAGGAGCAGTGCAAGGAAATGCAGCCAAGTAAGTAACCCTATTTATAGATGCAGGCAATGTGGGGCATTGTTTGGAGGGAGGGGGTTGCAGTGGACAAGTGTCTTCAAACAGAAGCTGTAATGCTGACTTACCCTTGGTCTGGATGTGATTTACTGTACTGACATCTCCACAATGACAAAGGTCAACAAACAGCAAGAATAGAATTGAGAGTAATGATAGAAGAACTTTGCGTCATCAACATGATTATGATCACACTTGTTTTCAACTGTTTGTCGGTTGGTTTGTGTGTATTTGAGCAAGATTACACAAAAACAACACGGCAGATTTACTCAAAATTTGGTGGAAGGATATGATATGAGTCAGAGAAGAACCCATAACATTTTGGTGCAAATCTGATTTTTTTTTGTTGACATTTTTTTCAGAATTCCATGGGAATAATTCATGGATCTTGATAAATAAAATCAGGAACATTTAGGAAACTAATATCTATGAGTGTGAGAAATTTACTGCAGCTTTATTGACTGTTGGGCCTTGGCGGAGGTATGTCCTCTACTGAGTGCCATAGTTATCAGTATATTTCAACATTTCAGATTAATACAACTACAGAGAGTCTTCAGAAAATGATGGAGAATGCATGAACGCATGGTTTTCTTGTCAAAAGTAAAACCTGTTTTCTGAGGATGATAAAGTCACCACCTGTGCCAATCAGTCATCGTGTTTGGAGCAGTAATTGCACTTCCCTTTAGGGATGATCAGTGCAATCTGAAATGCTGCACTGATGTAGACAGTGTTTACCATATGCGTGAATGAATGAACAAATGTTGCAAAGGATACTCGCTCTTTGTAATTATCACAGTGCAAATGAGCCATTAAAAGCCTTGTGGTCCTTGCATGAGTTACCTGCTCTCATGCATTAATAAATAATGCTTAACATACAATGCAAACCTCAATGGATATTTAATACGCAATTTAAAAACGATCAGAGGCTCCCTGACTTTCGTAAGGAGAATAAAATGTAAAGATTGTAACTGTATATTACTTAGAATACATATAGACTTATGTTTGCTCACAGTTTTTTTCACAGAGGTAATATATGGGGGAATCAATGGAAAGTCAGCCAAAGGGCAGAGCGTCTAATGTTAGTTCTGTCCTTTAAAACATCTGTTGTTGAGATGTCATCAGGCAGAGAAAAGAGACAAGGAATCTTTTAGAAAACAGCACATTGATAATTAAAATGGCCAGGCTCATTTGTTTTGTTCTGCAAGCTCTTTGCCTGTGGGATATTCAGTTAAAGATGTGGGGATGTTTAATCAAATTTCCATTAATATTCATCTGTGCTGCTGCACCTTAGCTCCCTCTGGTTACCAGCATGCTGTTCGACTGAGGCTTCCTAATTACCAGATTCCTGGACTTTCGTTTCATCATTTTCTCCATTTGTGCACAATCTGTTCTACAGAATATCATTTTGTTTCTGGTGCTGCTGTTTCCTGCAGAGATACTTTGTTTGAGAGAATCAATTTGTGACAGTTTAATTATATACTCAATATAGTAATAGACAAGTGGACTTTTCCCCCATGAGGAATGAACTATTTTTCAATGATGTATTATCGGTTGTTCATCATGTCAAGAAGAAAAGAAATGGTGGTGGACTGAAACAATTCTGCCATCTGCTCACAATAAATACCCTTCACTTTTTCCTGACTAATTATTTTAAAGCACTGTGATTTATTCCTCTCCATATAAACATTGCCTTGAGCTTCCTGTCATTCAACTGATATGCTAATGCTTGTGCTGGTAATAAAGTAGGACACACTGTATAAGCAGGATGATAAACACGCTCAAGCTAATATTTTTAAACACTGTACCCGACAGACATCTGTGAGGTTACATCTTTGAGAGTCCTATGAAAAGTCCACAGTGGACCATGGTTGGAGATTCAGTAATATACATCAAAGAAAATAAGATGAAAGCGTACGTTATATGAATGTGGACTAAGATCTTTTAAGAGATGACATTTTGGAGAAAACTGTTTATGAAAATGAATAGAGAAAGAGTATCTCATCCCCATGTATGTATAATATAAGAGCTGTGATTGCAGCTTGGTGCTTTAGATTTTTTGGGATTTCCCCCTCATTTGTTTTTGCTAAAGCTTAGTGATGATGGATGGGGGGAGCGACTGTGATCGGTTGCAGTATCATGTAAGTCACGCTTGCTTTTCAACTGAAGTCAAATCAAAGATTTAGCTGGGTTATTCAAGGATTTTGCTCATGCCTTTGTCACATCATGTTTAGATTATTTTCGTGCACATTCTCCTTGCATTACTCAGTCATTTTTAAAGCGTCTCCAGTTTGATTGAAATTCCGCCGGCAAGCAAAGTCTCCTCATGAAGACTCATGTTTGACCTGTTTAAGCTTCTTAAC